TGTCAGTACTACTGGGCCGCAGCCAGTTCCACCAACGGGAGCACAACATCCTTGGTACCCCAAGACCCCATTGAAACCACCTCTCGGCTTCTCAGGAGATAAGAAGGATGAGGCACTCGACACTTGGTTGAGGACGGTGCTAGTGTGGGTAAGGGCAAAAAGGATGTTGCTAGAAGAAGAGGTGATCACTGCCGCCTCATATCTTGAGGGATCGGCAACAAGATGGCTGGATGGGATAGTGGTATCCAAAGGGTACGACCGACGAATGAATGACTGGGCAAGGACCCACACATTAGAGAGCTTTATGGCGTTGGTAGAAACGCGATGGCACAACCTTCAGCAGGCCCAACAGGCCATGGATTCGTTGGCCTGGCTTGAGACCAGAAGGTACAAGTTTGCACGAGAACGTACCGGTGCTGTGGAGAAACTCGTTGTCATCCCTGGAGTCCGCTACGACCCACAAACCTTGCCGGCCATGTTTCTTAGATGTCTTCCCACATACACGAAGAATCGGATGGTTAGTGAGGCTAGCATCGACGTTCACACCTTCGACTCCTTCAGCAAGAAGCCTTGGATTTAGAGGCTAATGTAGGGGGAGCGCAACAACCTGTTGATGGATGGAAGGAAGAAGAAGACCCCATAAGCATGGAAGAAAAAGGGTAGGTGATTGACAATGGTTGATTCCAATGGGAATCAAACTGAGATCGATGATCTCTCTTATCTTGTGGAGGACACATAGATTAGGTGGCGAGGATAGTGCAGAGGGTGGCAACCTTGCTGCCATGACCAAAGGTAAGGCAACTGGCCATGGAAAGGGCGGTCAACAAAAGAGTCAAGGGCAGGCCCAGAACTCAGACAAGACTCTGGCTTGGGTGAGGGCGGGCTTGGATCAGGATGTGTGGAGGGACCGATACTCACGAGGAGCTTGCATCAACTACGACGAATATGGCTATCAACAATTTAGAAGTAAGAACGCAAAGGTCGCTCAGAAGATTGCGGCCAAAGGTGGTTTTGGGGGATCTTTCGCCCAAAATGCTGCTTCTACGAGCATCAATGAGGGAAACACATCCGACCAGTAGAAGTTGTTGCTGCTTCTACTCATGGTGAGGTGGTTGATGTACGCTCACCACTTTAGGAGTTGGCCGATGCTATTGACTCACTAGTCACCCCGCAGTCACATCTAGACCAAACAACTCTCTGTTCGTTGGATGTGTTTGCAGCCTTAGAAGACTTGGAAACCGAAAGGTGCTAAAGCATGTAGTACCGAAAGGGAGGACAATCAGACTTGCCAAGTATAAAGCTAGTAGTCTGATAGATACCTACGGTTGCCTGTGTGCATCAACGTTCTACAACTATTATAAACAAAACCAAGAGGAGGGTATGTACTTAATTTTTGTCTTTGAGAATGGGGATTGAGAATGGGGAGGCCGTTAAAACGCCCCCAGAGATAGAAACCGTCGTCGCTAAGTACCTTGCTCTGTTCGAGGAACCTTTAGGAGTCGTAGACAGGGAGGTTGTCCATGCCACAAAGATCATCCCCGGTAGCAAGATACCAAAGGGGAGAATCTATAGGATGGCTCCAACCGAGTTAGACGAGCTTCGTCGACAACTTAAAGAGCTCACCGAGAAGGGTTGGATCTGACCTAGTACCTCGCCCTTCGGCTCACCAATCTTGTTTGTCCCGAAATGAGGATGTGCATTGATTATAGAAGCCTTGATGCCATCACTTTTAAAAACGCAGAGCCTCCACTGTGCATCGATGACATACTGGATAGGGTGCAGGGATGCAAGTGCTTTACCAAGATAGACTTAAAATCCGGCTACCATGAGATTGCCATTAGACCGGAGGACCAACACAAAACCGCTTTTCAGACCATATACAGTTTGTAGGAGTTTGTGGTGATGCCCTTTGGCATTTGCAATGCGCGTGGGATGGCTTAGGGTGTTCTTTGCTGTGTTTTGCTTCAATGACAATTAGTAGGCTGATGATAATGGGAATGATCTCCCTGGTTGAGAAGCAGGTGTTTACATAACACCGGTGGGAGTTGTGCTTGTAATCAAACCATGGAACGTCTGATGTAATGTTCTTGGTTCGTGTGTGGTCCTTTGAGTCTGAATCCCCCCTTCTAGTACGGCCCCCGATAACCTTGAGTGAATGATAGCTATTGAGCTCCCGCATGATACGTGATTGCTTCATGAAATCTTCGTTGCTCTTTGTGTCTCTTCCCACCGTGTGTATTTCCGTTATGAGCACCTTGTGAATTCACCCTGTGTATGAAGTGTTCTGTGCAAAGGTGATACGACCTTACTTCTTAGGCAACTGTGAATGCACACCCTGATACGCCGCTCGCCGCGTTCGCGGGGCACTGTTCATCTCAACACACTCACACACACACACAGACACACACACACACACACACAGAGAGAGAGAGAGAGAGAGAGAGAGAGAGAGAGAGAGAGAGAGAGAGAGAGAGAATGTATGCACAGCTTGATGTTGCAAACTGGCCGGCATCATCATCATTTTAAGACTCGGGTGCAAACAGTCCTTTTCTATTTCTTCTTTGTCCATGACATATGTGAATCTCGGTAGTTTCCTGCACATTCTTCAGAGGGTTCACCTAGTCCGTAATTCTCTGGGCAAGGAACTGCGGTAGCATTGACAGCCTCTGCTTGGGTAGCCGATGCTATGGGGTTGACCTTGAAGTGTCTCCATTTGACACTATCTCATCTCCCGATTCGACAACTGAATCTCGGTGATTGCATCCTGTACCGACTGCCTGCTTTTGGATTAGGAGTAGAGAACTTCGAACAGTGTCTCTTTGTTACACAGATAGGACAGGCTCCTGTCCATGTGACCTTGGTAGATCGTGTGACTTGTGTGTATGGTTTCCTTGGGTTTTATGCAAACCTTCTGTCCTTGGTGCTGCTTTCTTTTTTCCCTGCCCCCGTGTGAGATAATACCCTGCTCTGACTCGTCAAACTCGTCTCCTTCTCCTCATCATCACCTTGATGTTGTCATGTCCATTCCTTCTCTGCTGTGCCGCTCAATGTCTGTGTCTCGACCTTGAGCTTGGCATTTACACTCCTTACGAATGTAACTGGCGCCAGTCTGTGTCAGAGATTGATTGTAGGGTACGAGATGTGGGTTGCAATCTTGGAGCCATTAGCAGAACTGGAATGGACCCTAGGCACGCTCCTCTTTGTCCACCCTATGCTGGTTATTCATTGGGAGCATGCACTCTGTTGCGGATGGATATGTAGGCACTGAGCCCGGGACTCTCCAAGGAGCCAGTGTTTGTGGCCCTAACTTTCAGTTGATTTAAAAAAGGAGGGCAACATGGGTAGTACAAGAAAAGATGGGCGGCGTGGTTTGTGCAATGGTTTTGCTTCTTCCTCCCCCCCCCCCCCAAATGGCAACGGCCTGGAGACATCATTTTTTTTCCCCTTTTTCCTGAAAGGGCGAAGGCGTTGAGATATCATCATCGAACTGACCGCCCGCCGGTAACTCAGATTGTCTGATTACATTGCAAGCATTGAGCCCTCGCAAGGCCCTTCTCGGGCATGCAAACGTTCTGGACTCAGGCCCCCAGCAAGCCTCGTGCCAGCCCTAACTGAAGGCGGGCGTGTACATCCACGAGAGGCCTATTTTTGACATTGTTGGGGTACCAGACTGTTGCAGCATGCCAGTTGGTTATAGAGCAATGTGAGCCTACCCTGGCTCCTTCCAGAAGCAGCAGCTGCGTCGTACGGTTGAGCCCAGGGCTCATTCGGTTGAGGCTCTGGGCACACGCATCCAGAGGGCGACATGTCACGTAGCAGCCACAGACCGATGAGAAAGCAGCTCCTGCATCACACACATGCCACGAGCCAATGAGAACGAGCCGAACACTTGGTGTCTCGTGGGCTATCTGGCCTGGGCCTGGGCACATATACCTTGGGCCAACCTGAAGCTACTGGGCCCCTAAACGTCAGGCCCAGGGCAGACAGAAGCAAGCTCACTTTCTGACGCTGCTGTTGTGTCCAGGCATGGCATTCTGGCCTGCCCAGGCATTGCGGCCACGCTGCTGTTGTGTCGCGTTAGCGCTGGCAGGCCGGGGCGCAAGGGGGCGCTTTGAGGTGAGAGGGCGATGCTGTGGCAGCAGGCGCATGGCAGCCATAGCCGGGCTGTGTGTGCGGTGGATGGTGATGTCGATGGTAGTTTTTGGGTAGGAGGCGCATGCAGTGGGAAGACAGGGTGTGATGAGGGGAGGAGAGAGAACATACCTGGTGTATGCCGGCGGTCTGCATTGGTGATCGGTCTTCAACTTCAATGTGCTCTTGTTGCATGACCGTAGATAGACTAGGTA